AAATGCTTTTGATATTAAAATAAGTAACAATTTGCATTTAATTCTTTAACGCCATCTATTTAAAAATATTGTTAAAATTTTAGCATAATATTATTCATCCCAAAATGGATGCGATTTAGATATGTTTTCTTCTCTTTTTTATGTGTTTTTAGGAAACCTATTTTTTTCTTATTTGAAAAACATTTTTGAGTTAAATTTTTAATACGAGTATATTTTTGATATTATTACAAACAACTATTAATTTAAGATATAAATAATATACCACCTAGAGGTGGTGCGACAATAATATTTAAAATCTTTCATCATATCATCCTCGTTCTTATTCTATAGTTAAAAAATGTTTCATTTCTAATATGGCATCTTTGCCGTGTAAATAACTTAAGGCTTTAATATATTTACATAATTTTCTTCCAAAGATTTTTAGTGTTTTTGTTTTATCAATTTCTAACATAATAAATTCTGAAGTGAGTTAATATCATGAGTATCATGGCTATGACTGCAAATTAACCAGCATCTATTATTTGTCTGGCAATGTAAGTTAAGATTATTACCACAGCTGCTGAGATGCTGAGAGCATATGATTATGGTTGGAATATAATCTTTTAGAATTAATATCTCACAATAATTTTCTCGATTACCTATCTTGCTTCCATCATATCAATTAAGCGGAGGTTTTAACAACCAAATAGTTTTGATTTGAATTGGTCGTTTATAATCTCTTCTTCAAGAATTATTTATTTGGTTAGGCCTATAAATTTTTCCTTATTAGTTGATTCTATAAAACATTTTCTAAAATGGTAATAGAAAGTTGTATTAGTTTCATGACCTTTTGTCAAAATAAGTTGCTAAGAATTATATTATATTATGTGGTTTTTAAAAACTATTATCAATTGAGACATATATATGAATTAATTAACCTTTTTTATCACTTGTAATTCTTAAGACGCAAATTTTTTTTATATCAGCTATCAAAAATATTTTATACTGTAATAAATAGATTTTGTATTAAAAAATATTATTTTTAGAAATGTCTTGTATTTTTTTAATTATTTATATGCTAGTATATTTTGTATGCATAATATAATATATGACAAAATATGAAATTCAGAATAATTGTTCAGAGTTAGCAAATTTTAAAAAAGTATAATATATTAATATAAAACGGGCAAAAACGGACCGAAGGCTCCCAAATTAGGGGGTATGGGGGACAATGGCCCTTATAAAAATTTGTTTAGTTGAGCCCCCTGATATAGTAAAGGCTAGCGACGCCCCACATTCATGATTCTACTCAGCGTCTACATGACAGGATTTTCACTGGATGCAAACCCCCTTCAAAAACCTTTGCCTACCCCCCTAAAAAATTCCCGCCCCCTTCGGCGGCGATGTCTTTTTATCATTATTTCCACCTATTTATTTATTGATACTCTTTTCAAATAATTTATAAAGGATAACTTAAATTAATCTATCTCTACTACCAACTATCGATATTTTGTGAATACAAAGAATTTATTTTTTAGATAATAAATTTAATTAAAACCTCCATTATTTACAATGAATTAATTATTATGGCATTATGAGCTTGCTGAAATATCTAAACCTTTTAAATTATATTTGAAAGGATAGTTTATTTGGAAAACAATGTGTATGATTGTTTGCAATATATAGATTTGGTCGATGAATTGTATTATAATAATACTATAATAAAAGTATTAATTTTTACAGATAAACTTTGTCTTATTTCATCTCAAAATTTAATAGATAACCCCCCCCCCCCCCCAAATGTATCCTACCCCCATTAAAGCAGCTTAACCCCTACCCCCTCAAAAAAATAGGATGCAAACTGTTCCTACCCCTCCCGCTCATGTAGACGCTGATTCTACTTATAGCTGGGAAATTATTAAGAAGCTAACAAAACATTTTCAAAAAAAATTCGGCCCAAAGGGAATTATGAAAAAGATACTATTTGTAAATTATATATTTGTATGTTTATTATTAACTTATGGTGTATTGTTGGTATTATTATTCTAACTAATTAATATCGCAATAATGTTTCAAAGAAAAATATTTTACTGATTTACATTTTTAAACTTCTCTCCCCAAATTTTTAAGCAATACATTCAGGGGCGTTGTTAGCTTATACAAACTCAGGGGGCTCAACTTTAAAAAATTTTATGGGGGGGGGCGAAGCCCCATATTCCCTAATTTGCCGGCCTTCGGTCCTCTTTTGTCTAGCCTTAGGCTGGGTTCTATACTAACATATTATACTTTTTTAAAATTTGCTAACTCTGAACAATTATTCTGAATTTTATATTTTGTCATTTATTATATTGTGCATACAAAATAAACTAGCATATAAATAATTAAAACAATATAAGACATTTCTAAAAATATTATTTTTTAATACAAAATCTATTTATTACAGTATATAATATTTTCGATTGAGATAAAAAATATTTTACGTCGAAAGAATTACAAGTGATAAAAAAAAGATCAATTAATTCATACATATGCCTAAATTGATAAAGGTTTTTAAAAACGACATAATATAATATAATTCTTACCAACTTACATTGAGAAAAGGTCATGAAACTAATATAACTCTAAGTTACCATTTTAGACAATGTTTTATAATGGGATAATAAGGAAAAATCAAATAGGCCTAACCAAATAAATAATTCTTGAAGAAGAGAATATACACGACCAATCATAATAAAACTATATGGTGGTTAGAGCTTCCTTTTAGATGACATGATGGGAGCTATATAAGTAATCGAGAAAATTATTGTGTGACACTTAATTTCCCCAAGATTATCTTCCATTTTTAATGATATATAAAAGACTAAGTTGATTATTGCGTATCTAAAATATGCAATCATATGCTCTCAGCAGCTGTAGTAATAATCTTAACTTACATAGCCACACAAATAATAGATGCTGGTTAATTTCCAGTCATAGTCATGACACTCACGATGTTAACTCATATCAGAATTTATTATGTTAGACAAATTGATATAACTAAAACACTAAAAATCTTTAGAAGATATTATTCAAATATATTGAAGCCTTAAGTTATTTACACAGCAAGGATGCTGTTGTAGTTTTGTTATATATTTATAATGATATGAAATGTCAATCAAAAGTGATCTTTTGAGTTATGTTTTTTTAGAGGATTAATATAAGAAGAAGATTACATGTTTTTTGTTAATTGGACCTGATGTCCTTTTGTTGAGGGATTTTTGCATGGATTTCTAAAGGGTGGTTTGTATGTATATGTTAATACGTAAATATGAGTATATTATACATTTTTTTTAATTATGATTGTATAAATATGAATTTTGAATAAATATAGATTTTGCTATTATTTAATATTTTGGAGACATTAAATAGATGCCATATTATAAATGAAACATTTTGTAACTATAAAATAAGAACCAGAGTGATATGATGAAAGCAATTAAGATTTTACATATTATTGTCGCACTACCTCTAGTTGGTATATTATATCCTAAAATAATAGTAGTTAGTAATAATATCAAAAATATATTCGTATTAAAAATTTAGCTCAAAACTGTTTTTCAAATAAAAAATAGCTTTCCTAAAAATACTGAAAAAAAAGAAGAAAAGATATCTAATTTATTACATCGGATGAATAATGAAACATATTTTATATTTTATAAATATATTAAATAAATAGATGGCGTTAAAGAATTGAATGCAAATTGTTAGTTATATTTATTATTAACAGCATTTATTAGTAAAATTTATTAAAATATTAACTGTAATATAATATATCACAGTCAAATACGACTGTAAAGGCATTTTACCTAATATTTTATAACCAATTATATATAAAAGAAGATTATAAACTATATGTCTATTTACTTTTTATAAAGAAATCTCTTATATGGACCTTGAAAATATTTTTAGGAAGAGGTATGGTAATTAAATTTAAAATGAATAATTTTGTTGATTAGTGATTTTGAACTCGGCTAAATACATATTAAATTTGTTAATTTTCAATTAATAAATTATTATATTTATTTAATTTGGATTATATAATAATTTAAATAATATAAGTCAATTAAGCTACTACTGTTAATATGAAATTTATATTTAGTGATGAAATTCTATTTTTAATACAGAATTTGATTGCAAGACACAGTGAAAATATAATTTATTTGTATCAATCTAATCTAATAATTAAAATAGTATTCATTTAATAAAAATTTAGGTAGTCTTATTAATTTTAAGTAAGAAAATTAAATCTATATATTACTTAATAGAATTATAAAATAAATCGTTCAGGGGGGCAATGAAAAATTTATTTTTAGTCCAAAGGGGATATTAAGGAGCCATTTAAAAATTATTATTTTGCTTCAGGGGGCTATTCAAATTTTTCAAGGGGCTCAAGCCCCTGCGTGCACCCCCCCCCCGCCCATAGTGACTCCACTGAATACATTATTGTTAGGATGTTTGCTTAGTCTAGGTTAAGGAAAACAAACATAGCAAGCCTTCTTAATTCATAAGTAACTTGCATTGATATTATTACTAAAACATAAGCTTTTTATTTACATAACTGGTGAGTAGTAAAGTTTATAATTTGGTTATTACTTTATTTTTGTCCCTTAAGCCAATTTTTAGCAGGTTAAAATATCGGGTAAACGTATTTTTGGCCTATAACTATCAATTTGGCCCTGGAGTTTTTCTTAAAAATATAGCAGCTAAAATTTAAAAGAAATTAATATAAATTGAACTTAATGTTAACGGATTTTCTCAGGCAAGCGCGAATTAGCCGACATTTAACCATTAGTCTATATAGTGAGTAGTGACTGTATCGAGTAAATTTTAAAAAGTAATCTTTAACAACACTAAATTTAATGTATATAATATGTATATTTTATCAAGAATATTCATAAAAAAAATTCAATCTTTGGGTATCCATAAAATTATATTTTAATTTCATTTGATTTATTAAAACTATTATTTATTTATTAAATTTAATAGAGGAATAAAAAGCAAAATAAGACGAAACCATTTGTAAAAAAGTTTTTGCCTATACAAAATCAAAAATTATTGTTCTTTTACATATACTAAATGGCTGATACGGAAGAAAATCCATTATATTCTTATTTTTTTGGAGTTATTGGTGCTTCATCTGCTATTGTATTTAGTGGTAATTCTTGTATATTTGAATATCCCAATCATCTATAAATAAATAATAACCTTTACACATAGATAATATTATAATGCAATTGAAACCATATTGCTAGTTATATATCTACATATAAGTGTCATAATCTAGTTTATTTTTAGTTTGTATTAACTTTAGTTTATAACATCATGTTCATTCATTTGAATATTCATCTTATCATTCACTTTACATTATATATGTAAACTAATTCACCCTTTGATATATTTATATTTGAAATAAAAATAGTGTTAAAATTTCTTTAGGATTTTCTTCACAATGCAATATGTTATCTCATATATATTATTAATACTATGCACAATTATTATTTATTTTAAATTTTTTTTTACACAATTAATATATAAGATATTTTTCCTCCTTTACCCTGATTTAAGCATTTATTTGTATTACAGTTATTCAGGACCTGTGGGCCAGGCTGCCTGTAACTTATTAATTTTTTACCTCCTATTCTTGCCTGATTATATAACATAATTATAAAATGAATTTAAAAAAAAATTAGGCAAAGATGCACTAATACTTTGGTATTAATAAATACTACCAGTACCTGGTACCTAAAATAATAATTGATTCTTTTATATAAAAAAAAATTGGGCCACTAAGCCATAAATTTATAGAAAAAATATCAATCTACAAATTTCTAAAAGTATTAAAAATTGTAATCATCTGAAATCAGGATCTGGGAAAAATGCTGCTTTAGGGTCCACTCTACTTTTTGTGATTGGATTCTAACTTGCAATGTATTAATTGTAGTGGAGATTCATATTTTGGTATAGTCAATGTATAAATTTAAATTAACCCACTAGTGTTGTTAAACGGCTTGTTTTGAGCCGATTTTTAAAAACGGCTAACTCAATACTCCATTCAGAAAAATATTCCCTAAGCCTGAAGATTTTGCTCATAGAAGGAACAAAGGTCTATACAAATATTATAGAAATCTTGAGGCTTAGGCAATATTATTCTGGCTAAAATATGGAGTTAGCCGTTTTTAAAAATCAGCTCAAAACGAGCCGTTTAACAACACTATAACCCACAATACCAATATCTTTGAAATTTTTCAAAAGGTAATTTAAATATATCTATAATGTTAAAAACATTTAACAATTATATTTAGTGACACCAATATCAGCTACATAATACCTCTTTCCTTGAATAAATTTTTTTTTGAAAATTTAAAATGATACTTTGTTATCAATTAAACATGTTTACATCAAATGTGGTGCATTACATTACAGCATCACTTGAAAGATATTAGTTTTGTAAATTCATTAGTCTAACCATGTACCTGTTCTGCAATTATATTTTTTTAGCCACCATATTATAGCCTCATAAATTCACTTGGAACCAAATTGTAGGGCTCTTCTACATATCACAATTATAATTTTATAAGAGACATATAAGATATGACTTGAGACAGCCACTCATATCTTCGTCTTAAAAAAAATTACGTTTTTCTTGATTCGTGGAAATGTTGTTAAACGGCTCGTTTTGAGCCGATTTTTAAAAACAGCTAACTCAATATTTTCGCCAGAAAAATAATGATTAAGCCTCGAAATTTCGATACTATATGTCTAGACCTTTGCTCCTTCTATGAGCAAAATTTTTAAGCTTGCATAATATTTTTCTGGATAAAACACTGAGTTAGCCGTTTTTAAAAATCGGCTCAAAACGAGCCGTTTAACAACACTATTCGTGGGAGTTCAATTTATCTATCAATGAACAAATCAAAAAGGGCACTATGGGCCTGAGGCTGACTAGTGAAAGATCTTTTGTCTCTAAAATAAATTGGAAAGAAAATGGCAGGGAATCAAAAAAGAATATGGAAGGGAGAAAATGATTATCTGCATATATTATTTTTTTTACTATTCAGATTCCTTTTGCAACAAAGTCATCTAGGAAAAGTAATTTATCCCATTTAAAATAATTTAGCAAATTTATCCTTTTCTAAAAGATATCATTTGACTTTTTTTTTCTATAATTTCCTCTTTAATTTTAACATACACTTTTTCAATTAATATATTGATTTTTTTATGACCAAAATGCGTTTTTTTGCCTCTTTATAATCGATATTTTTTATATGGAGGAAAAAAAAATCTATTTGTTACTATAAGCTCTTTAATGATCTTCATGTTGTTTATAAGCGTTTTAACGACTATTTTTACCGTAACCACTTTATGCTTCATTATTACTGCTATATATCCCAAAATTAGGAAATATTTCCTTATTACATAACGACTGTTAAGCCGAGATGACTCCCTATATATAATATAAATGGATCGTTAAAACACGGTCACCACCCTCAAGGTGCCTTATCCGTATTCTAATAACTAGGGCTGTCGATATTAAATATCGATCGGCACCGATATTTAACGTTTTCAAAAATATCGGATCAGGCCGATACCTGTAAAAACTCGATCCGATCTTTTTTTCTTTTTTTTGTTATTTTATTTTTTGTTATTTTATTTTTTGTATATTTATTTTACATTATTATAATATTTTCTAAATATTTTTTTTTAAACAATGTAAATGCACAAAACCTTCTAAATTTTTATTTTTTTATTTAAGAGTTTTTTTATAAAAATAGAAAGAAACACCCAAGTTTTATTTATTTTTAATCTTCTTAAAAAATAATGCCATTTTATCATTTATACTTTAAATACAAGAATTTTCTTAATTATGGTGCCTGAATTATGGTAATATTTTACAAAAGATAAAGATAATTTTGCAAAATGCGTTATCTGTGGAATTCTAATTTCACGGGGAGGAATAATGAAAGATTTATTAATTCGATTTTTTGCATAAAAAATATTAATTTATTATTTAAGTTCAAAGGGGGTGGTGAGAAATCAATATAAATATCAGATCGGATCGGGGTTGAACCAAAATCGGATCGGTAAAAAATATGTGGATCGGCACAGCCCTACTAATAACATAGAAAACCTATATTTCCCAATGTTTCTCTTCTATATTTTTCAAATTCATACATCTACTAATATCCCCTATAAAGTTTTTGAATTGAATAGTATAGATTTCCAAGAAATTATATCCTATATATTTGATTTACCAATTTCAAGTCTTTGGACCTGGTATACCCTCTAGTTTTATTAAACGGCCCAATTTAAGTCTATTTTTAAAAACGGCTCCATTATTTTAGCCAAAATATAATGTAAGCCTCTAAATTTGGCAAATTGAGGTCCAAATCTTTCTGATCTATGAGTAAAATTTCCGGTTTAATCGGGCTGTTTATAAAAATAGATCCAACAGGTCATTTAACAAACTACTCTCCTCCCTTTCTCTTCTTTTGCATATCTTTTGATTGTTTGAATGAAACTTAGAATCGATTTTGATGTTAACTCCAAGGTTGCCCCCCCCCTTCCTTATTCTTCGTATGGCATATTTTTTGATTGATTAGCTGAATCTTGATGTTAACTCTAAGGATTAGATTGAACTACCATAGTGAGTTACCTCTTTGATTTCTCGCTCTTGATCCCAATTGGCCTACTGCGAGTAATTCTTTTATTTACCAGGTTAACTAGCATCCCTATAAATCACTAATCTTCACTTTTTACGGAAGTTCGGATCCTCAAAGAAAAGCTTTGAAATCATGAAGTAAAACGTTTAGTATATCTTACATCTCCCTATATCGTGGTGAGGGGGGGGGTCTGAGAGTTTAAACTAAATAAATTGATATTATTCGAACCTCGCTATTTATCAAAATAGTTACAACCTTTATAAAACGGATAGGATAAAAATAAATTCTCCCCAACGATAACCAGTTCACCGTGGTGGTAATTTTATTTACACCTGATTAAAATTGAAACGAAAAGAATGAAGAAATAATATGACATTACTTTATAAATATCACATTTATAAAAGAAAATCTCTTTTCCAAATCGGGTTATGGAAAGGGCACAACCTTGACAAATTATTCAAAAGCAATTTAAATAAATATCTCATCATTTAACTTAACTGCGAGGTGTATTACAAGATCCCGAATAAAATTTTATTATTTACTTAATTTATCTTAGTATATTTTTTTAAATTTTCCTTTTTTTAAAATTCTTTTATTTCTTTTTTTCCTTTTATTTAAATTTTTTCTTAGGTAAGGATTTCAAGAAAGGAAGAAACAAACAGAAAATCATAAACTAAAAAAGAAAGTTATATAATTAAAAGACAGATAAAGGTGGAACAATAAAATTTTGGAAAGAAAGAACAACATTATTAATATTATTTTAACTCGATTTGACTTAACCTTTTATAATATATTCGTTTACCTTATTTTGTTTTTTTTTATTATGTTACGTTTTATTATAATATTATTATAATACTTTATTTGTAATTATAGAGATATAAGTGTAACAATACCTCGAGGCTTCATATTTATCAATATTTACTTTAAAAAGAAATTATATTTGTACTATCCTTCCTCTAATTATTATTAGTAATTATAATTATGATATATCATTCATCTTGCAAGCCTAAATGAGATCGGCTCTTTTTTTGGTTAATGATGCTTACTACCTTAAGGTACTACCTATCAAATTTGAATTTTGTTCATTTTTCATTTGGATAGGCACTACCAAATATATTTATAATATATATTTGAAAAATCGTGATTTATGGAAAGCCTCTATGGCCTAGTAAGCAAGAGCTTGGCTTACTGATCCCATGGTCCCGGGTTCGAATCCCGGGAATGGTCATGTTTTTTTTCTTATTCTAACTTGGTGGTTCCATCCTTGGGGGGATAATATATAGGAGGCCGGACTCGACCATGTGATTCCGTATTAATATATTAAATAATAAGGGTCTTATTACATTTTAATAAATTTTGGTCGGTATTTAGCAAATTAGGTTGGTATTTAGAATATTTCCATACATTCACTTGGTAGTAAGCATCATTAACCTCTTTTTTATTACATATTATTTTTTTATGCTACGGGGATGGGATAGGTTGATTTTTTGCCCAC